AAACCTCTCATCTTCACATGCCATTTACCTATACCAAATCTCATTTTGATACACCTAATGGTCTAGAAGTAAGTCTAATATATTGGTTGACACCCGATATAAACTCAGTTCCAAAAAAAGTGACGCACTTGATATTTGACCTTTCTTAAAAAAAAAGTAGGCCGATTTTTATTTTTTTTTCTATTTGTTGGTAGGTAATGCATGTCTTTGGAAAAAAAATAAAGAAATTTTTTCAAAGCTTTCGTGATGGTGGTGGAATAACTCGAACCATGATTTATTCTTCATTTTTGACTCACCCTGTGTGTAATTTTAATTAAACACAAAATTATGAATTGGGATGACTGCTTAATACCGTGTAAACTTCTAATCTACGAGGCATACTGGAAATTAAGTTGCCTATCGTTTCCATTGGTATACGATCCCATTCTTCCACTAATGCATCTTCCATTTCTGCGAGACTTTCCGGAGACCTCTCGCGAGAACGTACCCTTCTCCCTAATTCATCCCACAAATGTTCTATAGGATTTATATCGGGGCTTCTCGCAGGCCATTGTAATGTGTCAATACCAGTAGCTCCTAAGAAGTTTCGCACTATTGCTGCGGTGTGTGGTCGGGCATTCTCCTGCATCAATATAAAATTATTGCCCACTAACTATGCATAAGGTAAGACATACTGCTCTAAAATGTAAATTTGGGCATTCATCGATTGCCTCACCGGAAAAACATGAAGGGGTGTCTTTCCGTTCATTGAAATCCCTCTCCACACTATAACGGACCCACCATTAAAACTTTCGCATTCTGTTATCAAATGTTGATTAAACCATTCACCAGTTCTTCTCCACGCTCTTTTTATTCCATCCACCATGTTAAGACAAAACCTTGACTCATCCGTAAACAAGACATTCGACCATTCAGGAATATTCCACTGTCCATAATTTTCAACAAAATTTCTTATAGCAGCACGATGTTCGGGCAATAATTTGGGACCTTTTGCAGGTCTCCTAGCTTTTGAATTACCTTCTTTTAGACGTCCACATACCGTCTGCTTACTTACTGCAACATCACGAATTTGGCGAAGATCTTGCTGAACATTTACCGCAGTATTTGATCGATTCCGTAAAATCCGCAATCTCAAGAAGCGATCATCTTGGAGAAGTTTTTCGGGGGCGACCAGAACCGACCCTCCGAGCGGTGCTTCCTTGCTACTTGTTCAGGATTTATTTGAGGCATTTTATGTAATTTTAGTCAATAAAACAAGACACTTAATTAATGACACAACGACAAATGGTCAAATATGGAGGCATACAACAAATTAGTTGCTATGGCAACGGCATTTGTTTTTTTAAAGACAATGTGATCCTACCAGAGTACAACCCAATCAATTTTGAGTATTCTGATCCTTCAATAAATTCAATTTGTGGGATAAGCGTAAGGTATCAGCAAAAAAGCTGTAATTCGGAAAATTTTAGAGATAAATCAATGAATAAAAAAACAAAAAGCACTTTGTATACGATTACTCAATTAACACACAGGGTGAGTCAAAAATTAAGAATAAATCATGGTTCGAGTTATTCCACCACCATCAAGGAGGCTTTGAAAAGATTTTCACCTCTTAATTTTCTTTTCCAAAGACAAATGCATTACCTACCAACAGATGGAAAAAAAATCGGCCTACTATTCTTTGTTTTTTTTTAAGAAGATAGGTCAAATATCAAGTGCGTCACTTTTTTTGGAACTGAGTGTATATGTATGTTAGATACAAAAACAGTATTTACTTCAATTATCAATGATTATTAAAATTCATTATTCATGACATTATGATGACTTATATTTGAAATGTTCCGGTGTAAATTTAAATCATTTTATATTTGGTTACTTATAGGTTTATGTATAACATAGCGATAATTATTTTTTTCCCTCGGTTGAATGGAAGAGCAAGTTCTGATTACGTCACTCTCACTGGTGAAATGATCTGAACTTGAATTCTGCCGTTTGATAGGTATACGATTCTCAGCTCTTTATCATTTTTCATTTATGTTGTATTTACCTATACCTGTCAATAAAATCCATTATTATTATTATTATTAAACAATCTGGGCGTCAGTGGTACAAGAAGCTGAATCATTATCTTCAGTCGATTGGATTGAGGCCGCTGAATGCTGATGAATGTATTTACATCTTGAGGAAAGAATAAATACTCCTTTTGATGGCTGTTTATGTTGATGATTTGATTATCGCAACAAATTCAGAAGATATGTGTTCTCAATTGAAAACTAATCTCAATTCCAAATTTCCAATTAAGGATTTGAGATTATTGCATTATTGTTTGGGTATAGAATTCCGTCAGCATTTACCAACAAAATCTGTCTTCATGAATCAATACAAGTACATATCAGATATTCTGAAGAAGTATATGATGACAGAATGCGAGTATGTCCATACCCCCATTGATACGAATTTGAAACTGACAAAAGAAATGGAACCTAAAACAGAAGAGGAAATCGAAGAAATGAAAAACGTTCCGTATAGACAAGCTGTAGAATCTATTCTATACTTGGCCGTCTCAACACGACCAGATATCAGTTATGCTGTTAGTGTGCTGAGCCAATACAATAACAACCCAGGAAAACAACTCTGGATAGCTTTGAAACGAGTACTCAGATATCTGAATAAAACTAAAACTCATGGACTGTATTTCAAGAAGTCCGGAAATCACCTCACAGGATTCGTAGATGCAGACTGGGGAGGAGATTTAGACAATCGCAGGTCGTATACTGGCTACGTGTTCATGCTAGCTGGAGGACCTATTTCATGGGAAGTGAGAAAACAAAAGTCAATAACACTATCAAGTACGGAAGCAGAATATGTTGCACTATCTGAAGCTGCGAAGGAGACAGTATATCTTAGGAATTTCTTCAGAGAAATTGGAAACTCAAATGGTCATATTCCGACTACTATCTACTGTGATAATCAAGGTGCACAGAAATCGATGCGAAATCCTATATATCATTCTCGCGCTAAACATATAGATATTCGCAAAAACTTCACAAACGATAAGATTTCCACAAAATTTATTAAACACACGACATGTTTCGCTAACACAGTAGCTTCGTCAGGTGATATACTGGTACAATGAACTCAGAGTTGAAGATATTGAAGATAACACACGTTGAGAGGGGGTGTTGAACTTATCCACGTTGTTATAATATCAATCTGTATAGTTTGTTTAATAACTTGATGGCAGGGTGTCAGAATATTTTATAATAAAGTTCAACTGAAAGTTTCTCCTTACTTTTCTCCACTCTGCAACATAAGAGGATACAGGTGAGAGAAAAAATTATCTGTTAAGGTAAGGGTAACGGTAAGGTGACGACCACGATAAAATTTTACACTCATTCAATTATCACCCTGTAGCAATGTTATCTGAAATTACAGAAGTTTCATATTGCCACAACAAATTGTCAAGAGATTATATATATATATATATAGATTTCAAATTGCTAAGGAAATTCGTGAATTATTCTACTTTGAATTCAGGCTATATTTTGAACCACGACGTTATCAATGTTGACCAGTTTAGTAACACAACTCGAATAATGAGGTGAATACTTACATTCAGTTTATTAGCTTGTGTCCTCACTTCTAACAATTCTCTGACAGATTCGATGAATCCTTGGTAGTAAACGTTACAAAGTCTCTCTATATCTTTGTCGTGGTATTTGATTCTATCCTCCAATTTCTTCTTGAATTCTATATGCTCGTTATTATCGAAGATTGTCCTGAAACAACATTTCCTCATCAACAAAATTCTGAATTAGAATATTGAACGAACTTGACTTGATAAAATATCATTATGGATAGATAAATAAGATACAATTTATCGATGAGCAGTCAAAGCGAGTTAACGCTTTGATTGTGACCTCCGCAAGCGATTGATATTCTTTGAATTAAATAATCTGATCCTCTTGTGCTGTTCATTTGTGGTTTCCATTCCCACACTCCTTTATGATCCTATCCAATTCTCTACTATGTAGGTGTCCGTACCATTTCAACCTTTGTGCCTTGATGATTTTTACTATATTCACCATCCATGGCTTCCTTTATTCCATGATTCATTAGTCTCCTCTGTTCCCCTTCTTCTGTTCTCACGGTCCCTAGTATTCTCCTCATTATTTTTTACTCGAATATTTTTAGAATTTTTTCTACTTCTTTATTTGTCAAACTCATCGTTTCAGCTCCATAGGTGACTACCCAGGCAGCACAAAGAGTTACTGAAGATATCTCGAAGATAACCTTCTAGGACATGGTGATGCCTTTTGTAACGTCTAGGTCGCCTAGGATGAGCTCAGCGAGGTCTTGAAGATATCCCAAGCAGAAATTCTCATACAATGCCCTCAAGCAAGAACATAGGGATATTCGCATCAATCGCCACTAGCGAGGTCTTGAAGTACTCGCGACTACGAGATGTTTGAGAATTTCGCAAACATAACCCTGTGACGAGGACATTGGGAGATTCGCATCAATTGCTACTGGCGAGATCTTTAAGTGCTCGCGACTACGACCTGTTCGAGATATTTGCAAACATAGCCTTGTGACGAGGACTTTGGAATATTCGCATCAATTGCTAATGGCGAACTCTTCTAGTGAATATAATTCGAAAATTAGTATATTTAGCAGTGAAAGAGAGTAGACGTCCCAGTGTGAGCTCCGTAATTCGTGAAATAAATACAATACGTTGTATGTGCACCCTTTTTCGTGAAATAAATACAATACGTTGTATGTGCACCCTTTGTCATAACACTCAACCAACATAAGCCACCTTGAAATTCAACGAAAATAATAAAATTAAAACAATAAATAGAACAGTTCGTGCCCGAAGTAAGATTCCAGAAAAAAACGGTGAAGTGATACGACATTCATCTCTGTTTGAAGATTTGTTAATCTGTGGTTTGGCTTCGGAATGTAAATTACGAGGGTCACCCAATTGATAGAGGAATAAAATGGGTGAGAAAGAAATCACAATAAGGGATGTATACTTGCTGATGCAACAAATAAACTCCAATCTATCGGAGAAAATCGAAAAAGTGGAACAGTCTACCCAGTCACTTTGTAAAACACTTAAAAGTGAAGTTGCAACTAACAAAGAAGAGGTACAGCTCCTTCAAGAAGAAAATAAGCAATTGAAAACCCAATTAGAAAAAGTAGAGAGGAGACAAAGACATAATAACTTAGTATTTTATGGAATAGAAGAGGAGGCAACAGAAACACAGTATTTCTTGATTGAAACAATTGTAGAAATAACAAGACAAAAATTAGAAGTTGAACTGAAGGAGAGTGAAATCAACGATATTTTCAGGCTAGGCAAAAAGACAGGACACAAGAGACCTGTCTTGATTTCCCTTTTATCCCACATAAAACGACAAGAAATTTTAAAAAATGGACCAAAATTAAAAAATACAGGAATTTTCATAGCCGAGGATCTCTCTGAGTCAGACCTTAAAGAACGTAAAATTTTAATAGGAGGACTGAAGGAAGCTCGAAACAACAACAAAAAGGCGAGCATCAAGGGAAACAAACTGATCGTGGATGGAGAAGTATATACAGCTGGCGATATCTCACATCCTGATCAAATCACAAGCGGAGATTATTTTTCACCTCCACAAAGAAAAATTGCAAGCGAGCCTCCAACTCCCTCACCCAAGGAAATAGAAGAAGAGGAACTCAATGCTGTCTTCCCTACGCTAACCAAAAGGGACAGTAAAAAAGAAGAAGGCATCCCCCCCTCAACCTCAAACCAAGGAAAACCCCAAGAAGAAAAGAAAAAAGAAGAACAGAAGCCGAAACCAAAAACATCTTCAATCAGCTCATCCGGAGAAACGCCAAAAAATCAACCAGATCTAGTGCAAGACCAGCCAGGAAGTGAAACCCAGACTATTTGAAAAAAAGAACAGGTTTTTCTCATTTTATATCTTTCTCTGAAACTCTTGAAAAAATTCTAATTTATTTACTCAAACCGAATTTATAATATAGTATACACTAACACCCTTGATATTTTTATACTTCTGAACTATTAGTGTTTGTCAAACAATATTTTTGAATTTTATTAATTCTACTGAAGTTTGAAATCACTATAAAAAAGACAAGTATGTTCAGTTAGTGAGTAGCTTTATTATATATTGAAATATGCTCTAAAAAGCCTCAAATGGATCCATATATAAGAGACTTTCACATTGAAAAATTAACAACATACCTACTTATTGAATACCTCTCAAGAAACAAAAGAAATATTAAAAATAAATTGTAACTCCCAGAATTTCAAAATAATTCATAATAATATACGAAGTATTGGAAAAAACATAGATGAATTCAAAATATTTACTGAAGGACTTGAAACCTCCTTTGATTGCATAGTTCTCACTGAAACGAGACAAATTCACGATTCTTCAGTTTTCAATATCGAAGGATATAAAACTAAATACAACCAAGGAAGTTTCAACCAGAACGATGGTGTTATTATGTTTATAAAATCCGAATTATACCAATCCCACAATCTCATTGAAATAAATGGTAGCTTTCTCATCAAACTTAAAGCCAAATCGGATTTTGTATACACGCATTTTACAGATCCCCCGTAAGTAATGTAGATACCTTTTTGAATGAGCTGAACAACATAATGAGGCAAGACAGAGATGACTGTCATTATAATTTGTTTTTGGGAGATATTAACATTGATCTTTTGGTCGAAAATGATGACTCAAGAAACTACCTAGATTCATTATATGAATTTGGTTACCGTTCAACAATCAATATACCAACCAGAGTTCAAAAAGACTCAAAAACGTGTATAGATCACATTTTCATTAATGCTAAGGATAATAATTATGATTTACTTTTACCCATTACAGTGGCTACTACTATGACGGTTCATTATACAACTATATTACAGATTGTGTCGAATACAAAGAAAAATAAAGAGCATTGTGATAATAAAAAATATTTTGAAATAATTGACAATAACAAGTTGGTAGAGTCGATTAAGAATATTGATTGGAATGAATTGTTAGAGCAGATCTCGATAGTACAACAAATACATTTCTTGAAATAATACTTGAATCTATAGAAAAATCCAAAAAACATATCAAAATACAAAATAGAAAAAGAAAGAGAAAAAAAATGGATAACAAAATCTCTGATTACCACCGTTAATAAAAAAAATGATCTATACCACAAATGGCAGAAGACTCCAAACAACGAGAGATTAAAAAATGATCATTTAATAAAGAAAAATGAAGTTGAATATTTGATCAAAGAAGCAAAAACCAAGTACAATATAAAACGCATAGAAAATGAAAATAATATGTCTAAAAAACTTTGGAACACAGTAAATGAAATGATAAAAATTCCTGAACAAAATAAAATAACAACTATTGAGAACGAAAATGGTGATTTGGTAAATACTTCCAAAGAAAAAACAAATATATTCAATCATTTTTTTGTGAATGTGGGAAAAAACTTAGCATCGACAATCAACAGAAATCCAAACTATACTGCAAAGAAGAAAACTTCACTAAATTCAATTTTTCTGGAACCAACAAATGAACTCCAAAGCTGAACTAATCAATGACATGGCAGATTTAAAAAACTGATGACGAAAAATAAAGTAGTCCAGAAGCGGCTGATAATCAACTACCTAAACATACAAAGTGTAAGATACAAGCTTGATGAGTTACTGTGTTACCTGAAGCTAAATAAATGTGATATCCTAATGCTAACGGAGACATGGTTGAACAAATGTGAAACGTTCCTTTTCAACATAGATGGTTACACAGCAGTACATTCCTGTAGGACTACCCGGGGAGGAGGAGCATCAATTTATGTGAAGAACTCTATAAAATTCCAGGAATTAAGAATAGTTGAAGGATCAGAACCATATAACCTGGTAGGCATTAGCCTAACCGAAAGCAAGTACAATCTATACACAATATATAGACCTCCATCTTTCCAGGCAGCAGCATTTTTAGAAATATTAGATAATTTACTTAGTTTAGATAAATCTAAGGATACCTTAATTGTGGGTGATTTTAATATTAATCTTTTAGGGGACTGTAATACCTCAATAGAATATAAGAATATAGTTGAGCTCTATAACTATAAAATAGCAAATAAAATCGGGGAATTATACGCCACAAGAGTAACAGACTTAACAAAAACTTTAATTGATCATGTCTTAGTTAGGGGGGACAACAAAGAATGTATTGTTCAAACTAAAGACTGTTCGTTCTCAGATCATAAGTCTCTAGTCATTGAAGTAGTAGGTATTAACAAAATCTATGTTCCAAAAGTTCATAAAACACTATTTCACCTTAATGAAAATCAGTTTGTTAGTAAGTTCAGAGAGTTGACAAATGAAGTTATAGTTAACTCTTTTGAAGAACTGATAGACATAACTCAGAAAGCAAAACAGCATGCAACAAAAACTGTAATAATTAAATGTCAAAAGCACAAGGACTGGATGACATATGATTTCATTCAACTAGTTAAAAAGAGGGATAAAATCTATCAGGAAATGAAAAAAACACCCCAGGATGGTGATAAGAGGTCTGAATTCAAAAGAATAAAAAATATTGTGAACAGCAAAAGAAATCAGTTGAAAAGGGCATACTTTAAGAATAACTGGGAAGCTGCAGAGGAGAACTCAAATAAACAGTGGACCTTTATAAATAAGCTCTTAAGAAATAAAAAAGGGAATGACGAGGTAATCCAAAGTCTAAATATTGAGGGTGATATAATTACAGATACTAATGAAATTGTAAAAAAATTCAATGAATATTTCTCTAATGTTGGACGGAAAATAGTTGACAGCTTGGAAGAGGAGGGCGGTAGTACAGATATTGGTGATTTTAGGGAGATAACATGTGATCACACAATATTTATAGACGATACAAACATAAACGAAATCCAGGATACATTGAATAATATCAAAATAAAAGCATCAGCAGGGCATGACAGCATTTCTATGAAAAACATAATATCAATCAAAACATGGCTTATTCATATATTGGTGAGGCTTATAAATAAAGTATTTGAGACGGGAAAATTCCCAGAGATTCTAAAGATTTGTAAAGTAATACCTATACATAAAACAGGCCCAAGAACTGTCCTAGAAAATTTTAGACCTATAACAATTGTTAGTGTATTTTCAAAAATCATAGAAATGATAATAAAAAATCGTATCCTCTCTTTTATTGAAAGTTGTGTTAATACAGATGCATATCAATATGGGTTCCAAAAGAAGAGCAATACTCAAAGTGCTACTACTGATGTTATCAATTATATTTCTAGCAAAATGGACAAAAAAGAAATAGTAATATCAGTATTTGTGGATTTGAGAAAGGCATTTGATGTTGTTGACCATAAAACTCTTTTGAATAAACTTACCAATATGGGATTAAGAGGGAAAATGGTATTATTACTTGAAAATTATCTGACTGACAGAAGTCAATATGTTAGTATTGGTAAATTCAATAGTCCAATAATAAAGATCAATTGTGGGGTGCCCCAAGGCTCTGTGCTGGGACCCTTATTGTACTCTCTACACGTACCAAGCTTAAAACTTGCTGACCTCGGCAGTCGGTATTTTACATTTGCGGATGACACAATACTGATTTACATTGGTATAGATCCTAATGATCTAGAAACTTCCCTCAACAATGACCTTCAAAAATTTAATAAATGGTTGCTGCACAATAAACTTAAAATCGATACTTCGAAAACAGTTCATATGATATTCAAACAGAAAAACACTGAATGCAAAGAAATGCAGTTAAAGGTTGGTGATAACTTGATAAGTAGAGTAGAAAGTACTAAGTACTTAGGTCTAATGATCGACGATAAACTAAATTGGCATAAACATACTGAATATATAAAGTCAAAAATGATTCCAATGATAGGTGCACTGTATAGATGTAGAGATTATCTTGATGAACGTAACTACCACTTAATCTACAACTCATTCTTCTTGGCACACTTCAGATATCTTATAACCATCTGGGGTACATGTGGTAGAACTAATTTCAAAATGATGCAAACCCTTCAAAATAAGATTGTTAAAATACTATTCAATATTCATAATAGAACACCTACAGAAGAAGTTTACATTCAAACCAAAATTGCCCAAATTAATAAAATATTGGTTCTGGAACCAAATATATCTACAAAATCACGAACAACCAACAAAAATGCAATGGTCATCTTGATCATATCTACCAAATTCACTCTCATGACACAAGAAACAGGATTAACACTCACTTGGGCAATGCTAGAACTGAAATTGGACTGAACAATCCAATGAATAGAAGTATAGAGTCGTACAACGCATTACCTATGACAATAAAAAATATAGACACTTTTAACTTATTTCACAAAGAACTGAAACGGCACTTGGAAATGTAATAAATTATTGTAATTTAGATATAGGCCTCTTTGGTATCCCCATATTACTGCTTTCTCTGTTGTTGTTCACCATTGTTAAATAATACTAATAGTCTTTTTATTCTTATTATCTTTATTTCAATATTCTATATTATTGTTATACGTTATCTGGAGCATCTACATATTGTTATTGTTAACTAGTAGATGTAAATATGAAAATAATCACTTAAATGTAGTTCTAATGTTGATACAGTAGTAATCTGTTGGTATACATGTATTGCATTGAGATCACACAATTTATATTTCCACACATGTCATGTTATGAAAATATCATTATTCCGATACCAGCAAGCTTCAAATTGCTGTTTAGGAATTATATTGGATCACCGGGAAGTATATTCTTATTTAAATTAGGCTATACATATGTTTGAACTTGTATTTCTTATTCTATAGTGAACTAAAAAAAAAAAAAAAATGTAATATACATTATGGTGAATAAAAAAAAAAA